AATGGGTGGTTGCCCAGAGCGGTATTGTTGTGGGGGCGGCATCATGGCAATGGCATTTTGGGCATTGCATTGGCACCAATTGGTTTTCTCTTGCCCATTTTTGCCCATTTTTGCCCATTTTTGCCCATGTTTGCGAGGTGCTCCTGCTGCTTGCCACACAGGGAGGAGAGGGGCAGGATGGCTGGGTGGAGCGGCATCTAATAAGCAGCTCGCAAAATAAAACAAAATAAGAACAAACCAACAAACTAGGGCTGTCAATGTAAATGCTGCCATCATGTTTAACGTGATTAACTCAATTAATCTATTTGGAGGGCAGAATGACTCAAAATCCTTGAAATGTCTCTGTCAATGAATTTCGTGTAGTTTTTCCAAAGTTTGTCCATTCTGTGTCTGTGCTCTAGATGGGTTAATTGCATTAAAAATATTAATCACATTAATCGTGATGAGGCAGTTAACTCATTAACATTGACAGCCCTACAACAAACACAAAAACTGAAGACATTATGATATAGACTTATAATTTGCACTGACATGTTTTCTAAATTCTATCATACAAATATATGCAAAAAGTGAGCACGAAGGCCCTCGGTGCCTGCTTGCTGCTGATGCTGTGCTGAAGTCTCACACACAACTTGTCGAAAGGGGAGGGGGCGGGCTGCTTCCAAATAGTGCACATTTCATTCATAATATTGTCAATCCAAGCCCATTATGTATTAATTATTTTTCCTGGGTTGTGTGAAATCCCAGAAAAAAGCCCTGTACAAGGTGTTGGTCTATTAGTTTATGTTGTGGGGTTGGGTGATTATACTGCAGTGCAAAATTACTGATGGAAGATGGACAAGAGGAAGAGAATGTGCAAATGTGCCGATGTGCCAAAACGCATCTGCTTACCTGCAAAAGATACAGGTAAGCAGATGTATTTTTGCATAATGGCAGGTATTATGTATCCTGAAACAAGGTAACATTCATTAGTAAGGATTGGGAAAACTTCTGTTTACGTTTGTTAGCCACTTGGCTATGATAGTAAACAGTAGACCGACAGTAGACACTGAGGCGACTTATTGAATCTTTTGGACTGTGTTCAGCATAATATTAATTAGCCATTAATTGGAAGAGGTGTATTGCTGATTTGTCCGCTATTCACAATGTATGATGAATTATAATGACTGTTTGTTAGCAATTGGCATACTCTCTCTCCCTATATAAAATATTTATCTGGTTAAATTCAGTATGGTTCCGAGAACAGTTTTCACAATAACAGATGTTAACGGACAATCCTTAATCCATGTTGTGTGTCTGTGTGCGTGTTTTGGTGTGTGTGTGTGTGTGTG